TTTTTTTTTTTAAACAGAGTGTGACTTGGGATCATTTGGTGGAAAGAATTCTGAAATAGGCTTTTGGAATTTGATTCTTCTTATTTATTTAGTCCTGCACTCCATAAAATGATAGTGATTAAAATGAGTGCTAATGTGTTTTTAGGCTTCTCATCATGGTCACTCCACAGTCTCCTGGATTTTAGTATGTTAGAGCAGTGTGTGGGCCGTTTTCTCAGAGTGTGAATTGTTCCTGTGAAATAGTTTGCAGAGTTAAGTAAAATCTGAAGAAAGGGAATTTTTGTGGGGTGCTCTTATTCAATGACATATTTGTAAATCAATTCAGTAATTAATGTTTAGGATGTGATACACTAGAGCACAGTTTTAATGCTGGCTTATTAAAGTGATATTGTGGGAGATATACTCTTCATTTTGTATAGGGTATGATTTGATCCATAGCATAAAGTGGATCCAAATTAATAATGGTTTTTTTTTTTTGTTTTCTTTTGTTTTGTTTTGAGACGGAGTCTTGCTCTGTTGACCAGGCTGGAGTGCAGTGGCATGATCTCGGCTCACTGCAACCTCTGCCTCCTAGGTTAAAGTGATTCTTCTGCCTCAGGCTCCTGAGTAGCTGGGATTACAGGCACCCGCCACCATGCCCTGCTAGTAGAGATGGAGTTTCACCATATTGGTCAGGCTGGTCTCGAACTCCTGACCTTAGGTGATTCACCCGCCTTGGCCTCCCAAAGTGCTGGGATTACAGGTGTGAGCCACTGTGCCTGTGCCTGGCTCTTTTTTTTGTTTGTTTTAGAAGGAGTCTTGCTCTGTCACCCAGGCTGGAGGGCAGTGGTTTGATCTTGGCTCACCTCCCAAGTTCAGGTGATTCTCCTGCCTCAGCCTCCCGAGTAGCTGGGATTACGGACACCCGCCCACCACCATGCCCAGCTAATTTTTGTACTTTTAGTAGAGACGGGGTTTTGCCATGTTGGCCAGGTTGGTCTCAAACTCCTGACCTCAGGTGATCCACCAGTCTCAGCCTCCCAGAGTGCTGGGATTACAGTTGTAGGCTGTGCGGCCAAATTTGTAGTGTTTTGATTCAGGCTCAGGAATTTATGTTTAGTGACTTTATGAGAGTAACTTGGTCTTTCAGGAGTGAAGTTATTAATGAAGCTTTATAGAAATGAATATTAAGTTTAAAATATTTCACTGTTCAGTGAGAAAAGCCTCCAGGCAGTTGAAAATGGTTTATTTAGGAAGCTAGATTCATGGATGGTTATGCTTTGGTGAAAATAGAATAAGGGGGTTAGGTAGTTTTAAGACATAACATTTTCAGCAAATCAGACTTGATGTACCCACAGATTAACGAGATATTCGAGCTGCCTCTCTGAGATAGTTATTTGAATGGGCACCTTCTTTTAGTTGTTAGGATATTCTTTTTGTAACCCTCAGTATACTTGGGAAAACAGTCATCACTGATCATTTATCACCTAATTTTGTAGCAGAAATAATTAAAGGGTAGTAAGGTCATTATTAGACCTTATTCTTTTTTTTGAGACAGGGTCTCGCTCTTTTACCCAATTTGTAGCATAGTGGCATGATCATGGCTCACTGCAGCCTTAACCTGCCAGTCTCAAGTGATCCTCCTTCCTCAGCCTCCGAAGTAGCTGGGACTAGAGGCATGCACCAACCACACCTGGCTAATTAAAAAAAAATTTTTTTTTATAGAGATGGGATCTTCCTGTGTTGCCCAGGCTGGTCTCAAACTTCTGGGCTCAAGTAATCCTCCTGCCTCAGCCTCCAAAAGTGCTGGGATTACAGGCATGAGTCACTGTGCCTGGCCATTATTAGACTTTTTTTAAGGCCATTATTGACTCCATGCTGGAGTATAGTGGAGCAAACACAACTGACTGCATCCTTGACCTCCTGGGCTCAAGCGATCCTTCCACCCCACCCCAGACCCCCAAATAGCTGAGATTACAGGCACATGCCACTATGCCTGGCTAATTTTTGTACTTTGCATAGTGATGGTGTTTCTCCATGTCGTCCAGGCTGGGCTTGAACTCTGGAGCCAAAGTGATCTGCCCACCTCAGCCTCCCAGAGTACTGGGATTACGGGCGTGAGCCACCACGCATGGCCTTATTAGACATTTTAATAAGAGTTTCCAACTTTTTCATATTTTCCAGATTTTGATGATATATGTATCTACAATGAATGCAGTTGTCTAAATGTAACTAACTGCTCACTGTTACACATGAACCTAGGACATACCAATCTTACAAATACTGCTAGCAGATTTAAAATATATGTCTAATAAATTCTAGCTTATTCTGGTTATTCTTACAGTTAGATCATCAGAATGCAGTCCTTGAATACTTTGGAACTTTTAGTGGCATCTCATTCTATTGAGGAAGGGATAGCCATCTCTGCTGTAATTTTAGTATTTTTAGTCAATTGAATTGACTAATCTATTGAATATTTTTGCATTTCATTGTCTTTTTTTTTTTTCTAGTTAACCTTTGTATGCACATCTGCTTTTGACATTTCCACTTATGAAGTACATTTCGGCATACAAACGTTTCTTAAAATTTTATCTTCAATTTTTATTTTACCTTGTTTTTTTTGGAACAGAGTCTCGTTCTGTCACCCAGGCTTGAGTGTAGTGGCACGATCTTTCCTCACTGCAGTCTCAACTTCCCAGGCTCCAGCAATCCTCCCACCTTAACCTTCCATGTAGGTGGGACCACAGGTGTGCTCTACCACACCTGGCTAATTTATTTTGTATTTTTGGTAGAGACGGGGTTTCATCATGTTGTCCAGGCTGATCTTGAATTCCTGAGCTCAAGCAGTCCACCCGCTTGGCCCTTCAAAGTGCTGGGATTACAGGTGTAAGCCACTGCGCCTGACCACAAACATCTTAAAAGATGAAAGAATACTGTCTAATACCCTTTTAGCAAACCAGGATGATCTGGGTTCTGGTTGGAGGATTTTGCAGTCTCAGTTGAGTCATTAACTGGATGAGAATGCACATCGTCTTTCCCTCTTCTTAGAAATACATTGTTTGAGAATATTCATCTAAGATGTCACCATCTGAAGACTTCATAGTCTGAGACTTTGCTTTGTAAGATGATTTCACATTTATCAGTAGAACCTAGTGTGCTGCTGTCTCTTTGCATCTGTTGTCTGATACCTCTACTAATTAGAAATGCCTTCCTCTGTAAATTTTTCTTCTCTTCGCAATTATGAGTGAAAAATTCATAATTATCAACTGGTCAACGGTAGCTAAAAACAGACTACAAGGATGGTGTTTTTGATCTTTTGAACTGTTTTGAAAGAGATGTGATACCTTGGGCTATGCAGTAAGGAAACTGTATGAACATTAACAATTTATTTCACTGTTGCATCCTCTAGGTGATGCCATCATTCCTCTGTTCCATGTTAGTCTTTATTTAAAGCATAGCTGAGAATAACTGATGAATGTTGATGAAATAGTAAAGTGTTTCAAGACATAGGAAAAATAAGATCACTAGATTCTCCTTACATTTATAAAAGGGCCCAGTGGATACATACAATAATTACAGTATAAGGGTGAGTTTTATTCTAGTGTTAAACTTTCTTATTTTTGGAATATGTCTAAGGAAGAATATAAGTCATGAGATATTGATCCCTTTGAATAGTTAGATCTGTTTATAAAAGAAATGGAAAAACTAAAATTGAGTTTAATGGACCCTGATTGGTAAATTGGACTTACTGGTTTTTCTCATAACTTTTTTTCTAATCATGGTGTACAGTAAAGTTCATTAGTAGGTTTTGGTTTATTCATTTCCAGTTCCAGTATTCCTACCACTTCCAAGATTACTCTCAAATCATCCTGATAGAAGTTTCAGGCTTTGTTTTTAGTTGTTTGCATTTATCTCCCAGAAGGCTGTTAATATCCACCGATAGGTTTCCTTGGTCATCTCTGCAAAGGCATTCAATCTTGGTTTTTATTGGTTCTTAGTTGTTTCTTCTCAGAAACAACTTTTCTACCTTTCTCTATATTGAAAATATAATGCATTAAAGAAGCTCTGCTGTATCATAAAAAATAACTCTAATCCCAAGTAAAAGCTTCTGTGACCTATTGCGTTAATAAAACTGATATTTATAGACATAAAGAATATAAGACTTGTTTTTTTGTGGATAGTTTTTGTTTTGTTTTGGAGATGGAGTTTCGCTCTAGTTGCCTAGGCTGGAGTGCGATGGCATGATCTCTGCTCACTGCATCCTCTGCCCCCTGGATGTGATTATCCTGCCTCAAGTGATTCTCCTGCCTCAGCCTCCCGAGTAGATGAGATTACGGGCACCTGCCACCATGCCCAGCTAATTTTTGTATTTTAGTAGAGACAGGGTTTACCATGTTGGTCAGCCTGGTCTCGAACTCCTGACCTCAAGTTATCCACACACCTTGGCCTCCCAAAGTGCTGGGATTTTAGGCGTAAGCCACTGTGCCCAGCCTGGATAGGAGTTTTGTAAGATACTTAATGTATTCTGCTAGATGGACTGAATGTGTGTAATTTTTTTTTTCAGTTAAACAATTTTTTTTAGTTCATTTGATTTAGGTTCCTTCAGCAAGGGATCTAAATGTCATATCCTCGATGGAATTTAAAAATTAGGTTAATCACTTTCTGAGAACAAGTTTTACTATTAACAGTGTGGACAGAAACAGGAAGACCTGTGTTTTACATTATTTAAAACTCCTTTGTAAGAGTATTTCTTTAAAATAATACCTATGTTTAGTAAACCTCATGAATGTGGAATTAATTTCCAAGAAGCTAAATTGCCCAAAAAAGTGTAGTTTTATTTTTAAGTAGTAAATTTAAATGTACATATCACTTTCATTAAATTGCATTTAATATACCAGTTTAAATAAAATAGCATTTTTGATTCTTAAGTTTAGTGGGATTGGGCATTAATAAAAAGTCATTATTTACAGCATTGAAATCTTTTGGGATGAATGGATATAGGCATTTTTTTTTCTTCTCAGGTATATTCAAGAGCAAATGACCAAGAGCCATGTGGATGGTGGTTGGCTAAAGTTCGAATGATGAAAGGAGAAGTAAGTAATCTTCATACTTGCTTTGTGACTAGTTTCTAAGGAATTACCTCAGTGTTTGGTTTTTGTAAATGTTATTTCAACTGTTAGTTTTATTTCTGAAAGCCTACCTGAGAAATAGTTGATCACACATTTCCATTAGCATTTATTTCTGTTTGTGTTCTGTATTGGCAAACACCAAAGCTGCTCTCCAGAGGTACACCTCAAGCATGTAAGGACCACCAAGGTTCATGCTTGTAAGAACCTATAATCTAGTTTAGGCAAATCAGATTTATGTAACTAAGCTGTGCTTAGTGTTTATGCCACATGGGGGAGGGTCCATTGGTTAAGCTGAGCAAGGTAATTAGAACTTCATTTAAACTTCATTATTTTTGTTCAGATGGGATTTTTAAAGTATTTTGATGTCTTTTAGTTTTATGTCATTGAATATGCTGCTTGTGACGCTACTTACAATGAAATAGTCACATTCGAACGACTTCGGCCTGTCAATCAAAATAAAACTGTCAAAAAAAATACCTTCTTTAAATGCACAGTGGATGTTCCTGAGGATTTGAGAGAGGCGTGAGTAATTTTATTTACTATTGAATTGTTCTGTGAATTAAGAAGATTTTTCAGTCCTACAAAACATTTTCCCTAATGCCCAATCAAAACCTTGTGATGGAAAATCATCTTAATGAACAAAGGTTTTAGTGGGGGATGTCAAAATGAAACACTGACTTTGTATTATAACTCCTCTGAATTTAATCTGTTGAGGTCTTACACATGAATTAATTTCTCTCTAGGTGTGCTAATGAAAATGCACATAAAGATTTTAAGAAAGCAGTAGGAGCATGCAGAATTTTTTACCATCCAGAAACAACACAGCTGATGATACTGGTAAGATAATACCATATTATAAGGTAGCTTATTGATGGGTATTGCACAGATTTTATAATTAGATATTTCAAAAGAGAAAAGCTAAAGTCAACTTAGTGTATAGTGAATTTATTAATATAGTGTGGGAGAAAAATTTTGCAGCTATAAAATGTTAATTACATTCTTAACATCATAAAATTCTTATGTGTGAGATCCTGGATTTTTCCCAAATCAAGCATATTCTGAATAGCAGATCTAAATAATACAGGAATTCAGAAAGGAAAGTGTGATTGCTGAGAGTAGTGTTAGATGAAAGAAGTGTAGTATATGAGAAGCAAGGAAGCTTTGTATAGAAGATGGTGTTTGTGCTATTTGGAAGAATGATTACAGTTTTGAGTAATTAGCTTGTTTGTTTATAGTCTGCCAGTGAAGCAACTGTGAAGAGAGTAAACATCTTAAGTGACATGCATTTGCGAAGTATTCGTACGAAGTTGATGCTTATGTCCAGAAACGAAGAAGCCACTAAGCATTTAGAAGTAAGTGGGTTTACTTACAAAAGAGTTTTCTGTGTCCCTTTTAGTTTTTGTCTGTTTTTGGAGACAGATTCTGGCTCTGCTGCCCAGGCTAGAGTGTAGTGTTGCAATCTTGGCTTACTGCAACCTCCACCTCCCAGGTTCAAGCGGTTCTGCTGACTCAGCCGCCATGTAGCTGGGATTGCAAGTGTGCCCCACCAAATCCAGCTAAGTTTTGTGTTTTAGTAGAGATAGGGTTTTGCCATGTTGGCCAGGCTGGTCTCGAACTCCTGGCCTCAAGTGGTTGCCCGCCTCAGCTTTTCAAAGTGCTGGGATTACGGGCATGAGCCACCGAGCCTGGCCCCCATTTAATTTTATATTTTATATTTTTCAAGTTCTTCGCTTCAAATGAAGGCAGCCTAGGACCTCTGTTCCGTAACTATTTGGAGTTGTCGTGTCTGTAGAAGAATTGCTTTTCCATTTTACCTTGTATCGAACATAGCCTTTCCTTTGCTAAATGCCTGTTGACTTGTTGATAGGACTTAGATGACAGGTGCCAAAGAGCGAAGAAACTAGAGATACTCAGTAGACTGTATTGCTAGTTCTTTACTTTGTATTTAACCTTTTTATTTTTTTTAACTGCCTTGTCGTCTGTCAGTCATGATACCTTTCATCAGTAACTAGTTCACTGTAACAACTGTTGTGTGAGAGGAGAGGAGGACTAGGAGTGGTATATCATGTGACATGTAGTATTAAAATATGAAGCTTATCATTATATCTCTGTCTTATCCTAAGGTACTCAGTTGTGTCCTGTTCTTTGCTACACTGTTAGGATAGTTCTTCCACTCACTCACACTTTCTAGATCTGGATGAATACACATGCATGCACACATTGTGTTGTCTTAGAGAAATTGAGATGTGTTTATTATCCTTAGGACAAATTTGGAAGTGTTCTCATTAATTTAAAAGTTCTGAACAAAGAATTTGTAAACAAATCTGTCTGTATCTGGAAAAGTGTTTTAGCCTAATAGACGAATAAAACAATTTCTTTTCCCCATTCATTTTATGACATTAGATGAGTTTCCTTTATTAAGAGACTGCGTTTTTTTTTTTTTTTTTTTCCGTTATGTGGGTTTTCAGTGCTTTTTTCTTCTCGTGTTTTTCTTTACACTGTGGTAAAGTGCATATGAAACTTAGCATCTTAACCATTTTTAAGTGTACACTTAGTATTAAGTATGTTTACATTATTGATCAATCTTCAGGGCTTCTCATATTGTAAAACTGAAAATCTGTACCCTTTAGACAGCTGCTCATTTTCCCCTTTCCCCAGCCCCTGGCAACCATCATTCTGTTTTCTGTTGCTATAAATTTGACTATTTTAGATACCTCATGTAAGTAAAATCATTTTAGTCTTTTTTGTGTCTGGCGTATTTTACTTAACATCAAGGTTCATCTGTGTAGCATGTGTCAGAATTTCCTTTTTAAGGCAGAATGTATATACCACATTGTGTTCATTCATTCATTGATCTGTGGATTTGGGTTGCTTTCACCTCTTGACTATCGTAAATAATGCTATGAACATGGATGTGCAATAAAACATTTTGTGGCCACGTGTGGTGGCTCCTGCCTATAATCCCATCACTTTGGGAGGCTGAAGTGGGAGGATTGCTTTAGCCCAAGAGTTCGAGACCAGCCTGGGTAACATAGTGAGAAGCTCGTCTCTTCAAAAAATAAAAAAATAAAAAATTAGCTGGGCTCAATGGTACGTGCCTGTATTTCCAACTATTCAGGAGGCTGAAGTGGGACGATTGCTTGAGCCCAGGTGATGGAGGTGGCAGTGAGCCATGATCATGCCACTGCACGCTAGCCTTGGTGACAGAGTGAGACCCTGTCTGAAAAAAAACCATACAAAAAAGCCATTTTGCATTTTGATCTTTTATAATACTAATTTTCCTTTTTTATTAGTGCACAAAACAGCTTGCAGCAGCTTTTCATGAGGAATTTGTTGTGAGAGAAGATTTAATGGGCCTGGCAATAGGAACACATGGTAGTAACATTCAGCAAGCTAGGAAGGTTCCTGGAGTTACCGCCATTGAGCTAGATGAAGATACTGGAACATTTAGAATCTACGGAGAGGTAAGTTCTCTTTCTCCTGCCTTGGCCTTTACTATAATGTATTAACCATCTATTGTTTGATTATATTTTTATCTGAAATTCCAGTTTCCCAGTGAAACATTTTTGAGGTAGAATTTATTCAGTTAGCATCAGTCAGCCTAGTAGTCATTACTTATGCAGCTGAATTGAAGTTAACTTTGTATTGAGGGGAGTGAAAGATTTACTAAGTAATTAAATATGTAGTTTTTAAAATTGAAGTTTCTTAACTGCTTCGGAATTTACTTCAGTTTTATACCCATAACAAATAATCTCTCCAACTGTTTTTTTTTTTTTTTGGAATGTTTACTGTGTGCCAGGCACTGGCAGGAGTAAATGGCATATATTAGAATAGCTTTTCTAGAACTCGAATTTGTATAATGCTTCGTCACTGGTTAATCGTGACGTTTGCAGGGGTAGAAAATTAGTAAGTTATTTTTAAAAAGTTATTCAGCCAGGTGCAGTGGCACACGTTTGCATTCCCAGCTACTTGGGAATCTGAGGCAGGAGGATTGCTTGAGCCCATGAGTTTGAATCCAGCCAGAGCAACGTAGAGTTTAAAAATATATATATAAATTTATATATATACATATACACGCACCTTATCTGTATTTTTATGTATGTAAATTGAGACCATCCTTCGAATTTGAGTAACTGGATTTTTTTTTTTTTTTTTAAAGAAACAAGGTTTTGCCATGTTGCACAGGCTGGTCTGGAACTCCTGAGCTCAAGCACTCCCCCTGCCTCAGCCTCGCAAAGTGCTGGGACTGTAGGCATGAGCCACTGTGCCTGGCCTGGAGTTTTTTTTGAATGACAATTTTGTGTCTTGACTTTTCATACATAGCTCTTATGAACAGCTTCTTTCACATGGTAAAGCTGACTAGAGGCTTTACTTTTAATTTTGAAACCTTTAAAAGTAGACAGTATAACATAGTAATTAAGGCAGCCAAGCACTGTGGCTCATGTCTGTAACCCCAGCAATTTTGGAGGCTGAAGCAGGAAGATCACTTGAGCCCAGGACTGAGAGGCTGCAGTGAGCTATGATCGTCATTGTCCTCTAGCCTGAGTGACAGAGCAAAGTTCTGTCTTGTTGAGAAGAAGGAGGAGAAAAAAAAAAAAGGGCTTTGAAGCTATACTGCCTGGATTGGAATTCACTTTAAGTAGGCCACTTTGAGTAGGCTTGGAGTTTGTTGCTTTGCTTCCTTGTATAAGTGTTCTCATTATAAAATAATAATAGTGCTTACCTTAATATAGTTCTTAAAGATTGGATACATTATACAAAATGTTGATTGCATATGGTATATCACATAGTGTGCACACAATAATTTGAGCTATGGTTTTAAAATTAAAAAAATTATTTGCTTTTTAAATTTTTTTAGAGATAGGCTCCTTGCTCAGGCTGGAGTGCAGTGGTGTGATCATAGCTCACTGCAGCCTCAGACTCCTGGGCTCACGCCATCCTCTGGCCTCAGCCTCTTGAGTAGCTACGACTATAGGCATGTACTGCCATACTGGGCTAATTTAAATATGTATCTATATATTTTGTAGAGAGAGAGGTTTCCTATGTTGCCCAGAGTAGTCTTAAACTCTTGGCCTTAAATGATCCTCCTACATTGGCCTCCCAAACAAAGTGCTGGGGTTATAGGTGTGAGCCTACTGCATCTGGCCTTATCTGTGGTTATTCAAGAACAAACGTTAAAAATGAAAATAACTTAATTGAGAAGTAGAAAGTCCATGTAGAGACTCACTTCCAAACCTCTAGTCGTTTAAAATTGTACTCATTAGAAATTAGGAATTTTGATGATCTTACCAGTGGGTGCTTTTAAAAAATGCATATCTGCAAAAATAGCTTTTTAAGTCATATACCTGATTTTGAGAATAAATAAAATAATTCAGACAATTTGAACAATTTGTATTGTTAACACTTAACATGAGAATTTCAACCTGGGAGTATAGACTAGTATATTTAGGATTGGGTTACAGTTTTGGCTGTTCAGCAGCTGTGTAATTTAAACTCTGACACTAAAATTCTTAGCAGCTTAAAGATTTCAGAGATGTTATTTTATTTTTGGTTTTAATAGTACTGACTGATTTGGGATTTTTAAAAATGATTTTTTTCTTAAGTACTTTGTGAATCACTTCACCTGAAATCTCTCACCAGTGGAATGAGCATAATCTTTTAGTAGAATATAATCATTCAGAATTTTCTCTTTTCTCATCTTTTTGTTTTGGATTATGGGTTGCTTCAAGATTGAAACAGGATTTCATTTTTACTTTTCCCCTCATCTACAGAGTGCTGATGCTGTAAAAAAGGCTAGAGGTTTCTTGGAATTTGTGGAGGATTTTATTCAGGTTCCTAGGAATCTCGTTGGTAGGTACTTTTACTAAATGTTAAATAAGTTAAACATTAGTTACATATAGTGACTTAATTGAAAACTGGTCTTGTAGTCTGATAACCTTATTCCAGTTTTGTGTAGATTTATTTAGATAGCAATAATTCTTTTTTTGGTGATAACATTTTGTGTAACTTGTTATTGTCATATGTTAAAAAGTAAAGATGTTTCTTCTGTACAAGATGACCCACTAATAAGGCCCAGAGTTTTTATAACAGTTTGTCATTACAGTTTTTTTATCAGCCTTCTCATCCCTTGGGATCTTTCCTATTCTCACTCCTTTACTCTCTTTTTATCATTGATATATATTCATCAAAATTATGATAGTACTTTTTGAGAAGGTATTTGTGGTATTTGTTTTGTTTAGTGTGGAAGAAAAGTAACAGTGAACTAACAATAGGGTAATAAACTTCTACACAGTAGGTCCTGAATAGTAGGTTGTCACAAGGCATAGAATAATAAGGTAAGAACTTGTGGGCAGGAGAGAAGGATGATAATATGAGGGGTGATTTCACTGTTAATTATTTGACACCATTGTTGAAACTGTTGTACCCATGGATTATAGTTAAGTGACAAGAATTTGCATTTGAAGTTATGGTTAAATGAGCATTATAGGTTGGAGTGAGTTCATTTATAACTCTGTTATTAATATGCCCTATATCTATGCTGTCTGTCTTTTTGCTATTTGAGGCAATTGGGAAGGCTTTGGTTATGTGTTAAGTACACAGTGACTATACTAAAAATTGACTCTCTAAACATTTAATATAAAAAGCAACATCAAGATAATGTAGTGAAGTTTACTAGAAGGGGGATGAGTTTTTGTTGCCTATTATCTCTCATTATTTTTTTTTTGACGCTAAGGAAATACTTTCAGCTTCTTGGGTTCCATTTATAGAATGTGGCTTATTCTGCCTTTAGGAAATGTTTAGCCACAGGCATTCTATTTGTTAAATTGTGTAAAACAAACATTAATAGAAAAATTAAAAAAAAAACTTTCATTCTAAAAAGATTTTTTTTTTTTGGCCATTAATAAGTAGTATATTCAGGAAAAGTAGTTTAAAACACAGAAATTTATGTCTTGGAATTTAACTGTTAGTATTTATGAAAAAAGCCTTTTTTTCCCCTGAGATGGAATCTTGCTTTGTCACCCAGGCTGGAGTGCAGTTGCAGTGATGCACTCTTGGCTCACTGCAACCTCTGCCTCCTGGGTTCAAGCGATTCTCCTGCCTCAGCCTCCCGAGTAGCTGGGACTGTAGGTGCCTGCCACCACGTGTGGCTAATTTTTGTATTTTTAGTAGAGATGTGGTTTCACCATATTGGCCGGGCTGGTCTTGAACTCCTGCTCCTGATCTTGTGATCCGCCCACCTCAGCCTCCCAAAGTGCTGGGATTACAGGCATGATCCACCACGCCCGGGTGTAAAAAGCCTTTCAGTTCTGCTCAAACATTTGGATAGGTATGACATTACTGCCAATTGTGTAAGCTCTACTTTATTAGTTCTTGGTATACCATTGTTCACTATAGACTGAACTGCTGGAAAGAGGAGATGTTAAAATTCAATATAAACTTGAAGAATGTTGTATAATTATACATAGGCAAGGTGCACAATGTTATCAAATGTTTATCAGTATCAAATGAAATCACCTTTGATAAGCTGCTTTTGAAAAGGATGCCCTTTTAAAAAATCGTAATCATTGACATCTGTCAGTACTAACATTGTGGTAGCTGCTGTACAGAATGTAACTTTAACTTAACTAAGGTTTCCTCACTTGTAAAAATGATTTGGCAATGGATTTGTGAAAGGGAACCAGGTTTCTTTTCAATCCAAGTCTATCCGTTATAAAAGATAGCCTTGGTCTTAGAGAGTTGTAGTAGGTGTTGTGAGTAAAAGTTTCTGATATTTCAAAAATAAGAAAATTGGGTATATTTGTAGTTCTCTATTCTCTTTATTCAGTGAAGTGGTGAGTACCTGTTGTCTCTTTTCCTGTATCCTGTCTATGTTGGCTTTGGTGATGCGGGTTGTGTGCTGTTTAGGAAATACACAATAGCAGTAACTATTACACATTGGTGAGATACTCAGGAACTTAGTACAAGAATTTCTGTTGGTTGTCAAGTGTAAAAGTACAATGTTTCCCTCCATAATGTTTTATGGATGAAGCAGTCTTTTGAAAAATAGTACGTTTTTAGTCCAAATGAAAGAAAAAGAGAACTGAGGAATAAAAGGGAATGAGAACACTTGGTAGGTAAGTTCCAAAGAGGATTACCTTATACATTCATGTTCTGAGAGTTCTAAGACGACCATTCCCACCCTTCCCAAATCAAAGGGAAAAATATCTGAACATTGGTTTGAAAATGGTTCAAAACCTTTCACCTCCAGAAGCCTTCCTTAATCACTTCTCTCTGTCCCTTCAGCATTTATATTCAGTGCTCAATTTATACTGCAGGTCTGCTTCAGTTTGTCAATATGGTCTGGAATTTAAACTATGGAAATGATCATATAAAATATTGACGGTCTCTGATGGGACTAAATAAAACTTGCAGGTAGGTTCCTGCCAAGGACCCCAGAAGGGTGATGGATGATCACTCAAAACTGGTATAGTTCACAAGAAGGAAGTGGCAGAAGTTCTGGGGGAGGAATATGGTATATCAACCTGATCTTTGTTTTTCGAAAGACATTTGCTTGTTTTTAGCAGGGTCAAGGATGGAGTTGCTGCTTGAGCTTCACTGTGTTAACAATGAAAGTTGCTTTTATGTGCTGCTGCTAGGGCTGCTCAGAGAAGATACACGTCATTTGAATTCCCTGCCCTCCTTTTTTTTTTTTAACCTGTTCAATTGCTACTGCTTTTAAATTTAGGGTTATTAATGGGGAAGGAGGCTTGAGAGTAGGAATACAAGAGAGAAAAACCCATTATAGTCCTTTTATTGTATTGACCAGTCTACTGTTGTCATTGTTCTTATTCATTCTTTAATGGAAACTGTTCGGGCATGCAACAGGAAAATCTGCCATTTTAACCCCTTCAACCAAGGTTTAAGTTTTTGTGAAAAGTGATTTATTTAAAAAAATTGAGGATGTGGACTTGATAACAAATATGCTGTTGCTGTTCATTAAGGGGTACATCTGTTCCATATGGTGAAAGTTACTTGAATAGTACTTGTTAATAGGTACACAACTCAGTGTTGCTTTGTTATTTATGTGAGTATATGCTGATCTTTAGATAGTCCTTTAGGGAAAGAGAGCCTTTTGATCCCTTTGTTAATATACTCAATAACTGCTGTTTGACAGACTTGTAAGTGTAGAAAAGTTAAATATTTGAATTTTATGTCATTTTACAGTATTTTATACTTAGCAAGACAGCGTATCATGTGCATGCTTTATGTTTTTTTTTATATAGCTGTGAAGTACTTGAAAAACTTGGTATAAAATGTAATACATGTAAATATTCATTCTAAAGTTATGTTCAAGTCATAGAAATCTCTTTTACAGATAGAAACTTGAAAATAAAAGCAAGATTGATGAATTTGTTACTTATGTGAATTAATAAAGTGATAATGATTAATGCCAAATTAAAATAGTTTTCTCTTTGCCTTTATGTATATATCCAAGGTTTTGAAATGGGTTGGATGTTTAAAAAATATGAAAATGATATAAGCATATTTTAAAGTCTAGATTTTGAAAATTTCTTACATGCGAGCACTGTTTGTCAGTCCCAGTTAGTAACCTTAGGCATGCTGAAAGAGGAGTAAGTTTCAGACCAAGGGTAAAATTTTTTGGTAGTCTATAGGGTGAGTTAATTGAAAGTAAAAAGATGGGAGCGTCACTTGATGGTTGTAATTTAGTAGCAAGTTACAAATAATTTGGGGCTGACATTGAAAGAATAGCAGAATTGATTTTTAGCTTACCATTATATTTGTTTTCTCTTACTAAAGGAAAAGTAATTGGAAAAAATGGCAAAGTTATTCAAGAAATAGTGGACAAATCTGGTGTGGTTCGAGTAAGAATTGAAGGGGACAATGAAAATAAATTACCCAGAGAAGACGTAAGTATTTAAAATGTAATTTCTTTCCCTCTTTAAAATGTCCTTTTTTTGGGGCCAACTTAATAATTGTAAACATTTTGTCTGTTTTATCTGATACAGAGGGTTTTTCTTTCCTTTTTAAAAATTATGTTTTTATAACAATATTTCATACACTTAAAAAAGTCATTTTCTACTGTGTGGGCCTTGTTCTTAGTTGTTTTGATAGTACTTCAGTAAAAGTCAGTTTTGATATAAAGATTTCTATTTGATAATCTTAACAGTTATTTTTCATACGCAGAGTGTAAAGCTGTAGAACTTGATACTCTCAAAGAGTTTTTTTTTTTTTTTAAATTTCAATAGTTTTTGGGGTACAGGTGGTTTTTGGTTACATGGTGAAGGTTCTTCAGTGGCGATTTCTGAGATTTTAGTGCACCTGTCACCTGAGCAGTGTACACTGTATCCAATATGTAGTCTTTTATCCCTCATCCCCCTCACCAACTTCCTCCCCGCTGAGTCCCCAGAGTCCATTATAGCATTTTTTTGCCTTTGCATCCTCATAGCTAAGCTCCCACTTAGAAGTGAGAACATACGATATTTGGTTTTCCATTCCTGCGTTACTTCACTTAGAATAATGGCCTCCATCCAAGTTGCTGCAAAAGACGTTATTTCGTTCCTTTTTATGGCTGAGTAATATTCCATGGTGTATATATACCACAGTTTTTTTGTATCCACTCATTGGTTAATGGGCACTTAGGTTGGTTCCATATCTTTGCCATTGTAAACTGTGCTGACAAAGGAATTGTTGATTGTACTCTCCTTAACTATTTTATACAATCTGAAAGTATTGACTATTTCTTAATTGAAATCCCCTTATGCTTTTATGTTGCTATTTTGGTCGTAGCTTTCTAAAATTTTTTGTCTTCTTTCTTCCCACATGTTGATATTTTGTCCCTAATTTTGTTCTTTGCTCCTTTTACATCATTTTAAGGATCTCACATTGATGGCTTTAGTGATCAACTCTATATACTTAAGCTTTGTGTTCCTGAATGTAAGACAAGGATTTTTACAAAATCATCTCTCAGAAAGCAGTACACTCACAACTTCTTGAGCTTTGCACAATAGAGTATTGTATGGGGAGTTTGTTAACCTGTTGGATAGAGGATCAGTCTTTTAAAAAAGAGAGAAAACTATATATTTAGCCCAGCCAAGTATTTAGTGTTGTAAAGATGTCAAAGATAGCCACTTCCTTTATTCCTTTTAATTAGAATGTGGAGGTGAATATACTAAGAATGAATGAGGAAAACAAATATTTAGGTATCATACAGATAAATACTTGTCTCTTGGAATGCTATTTTCAGTGATTTCATTCTACACTGCTTTAAAAAGTGCAAATCTTGCATAACTTATTCTTCATAAGTACTCCTGCCCCATTTTGCATTGTTTTAAGATGGCTTAGATAAGGATTAAAACTGATGGTCTTATGCCATTATTATTGTCATCGTTTTCGTTAATGCTTAGTATAACTAACGGTAAGATGAATGGTGAACCATTTGGCATACAACCAGTGCCTAACAATTGGTCTGAAAAATCATAGTATTTATTGGCCAGGGCCATTAAATTGGTCAACTATGAATTTCTAAGCTGGATATTAATGTCTTCTCTTAGCTTGATTTATTCCCAGTTGCTTTTCGGTATTTACTGTTTTGTAGTAAGTGTACTCTTCTTGGTTTCCTTCATAAGTAAGAATTTACTGTACTTTCTTGTGTTTGTAGTTTTAGCCATTGTTACTGTCATTTCTATGCCAGGGTTAAGAGACGTAAATGCTTACAGAGGCCAAGCAGTTATGTGATTAGGCAAGTTGGAATGTATAAGATAGGGATGGAAAGGACAGTGCCTTTCTTAATGGGGAATGCATGCCTTATTTGTTGCTACAATGGTATTTTTTGAGAAGCAGGAAACCTATAATATACAGAATTTTTCAGTTTTCAAAATACTGCACGCTAAAATAAATCTGAAGGTTGGTATTGGCTTATTAGGAGCCACCATGTCACAATTTAAGTTGGAGACTCAGTCTATAACTTGTTTACTCTAAAGACTTTGGTGATCTCTCCCTAGCCTGAGATGACCTTTCCTGCATGTATACTATAGCAATTATTGTCTTTATGATTGGGTTTTTAATGATAGTCTTTCAGTCTTACTTATGTTTTGTTTTCTGGTATATGTCTCCAAACCAGTTATGAACTCCTTGAAATCAGGAAATCAAACCTGAACTTCCATATTCTCCCATCTCCCCTATGACTATGAATTGAATAGAATGGGCACTTGATAAATATTTTAAGACATTTAAACTTAAAAAAATTAAGTTTGAGTTTTTAATTATTAAAGTTTACGTAAAGGTTAGAATAATACAAATGGGTATAATATCAGAAATAAATGTGTATCTGTGCCTTGTACATGTCTATCATTTCCTCTCCATGCCTACTAGGCTTTAACCTGTTTAAACTACCTTTGTATGCTTTTATTTTGCATTAAAAACAATGCTGCAGTCAACATCCCCTGTGACTCTTTGCCAATTATAACTGGAGAGGAAATTCCTCAAAGTGGATGTGATAGATCAAAGGTTTTATAGTATTTAAGTTTTTAGAGCTTGATAATTACTTTCTCACACATCACCACCACCAGTGTAGGAAATAGGTCTGTTTTCCACATATTCGCCAATACTAGGTTTTATTAAATTTTAGTTAATACCGTTACAGTAAGCGTACACTTTATCTTTCTATATGTTTAAAAGACATTTTTTTATTTTTCTGTAACCACCTTTTTGTCCTTTATGTATTTTTTGTCTTTAGTATCAGTGGGTGATAAGACCATTGCTTGTTTCTTTTGACTTGATTTCTTTTTATCCTGAGCAGGCATTTTAAAGTTTTTATATTGTTGGATTTTTTAGGATTTTGCTTTATGACTGGATTTTCTGTCATGCTTGGCAAGGTCTTTCCTGTTCCTAGATCAGAGATCTTAATCTCCACTTGTTTTTGTTGTTGATGGTTTTTAGTGCATAAACTTTTTGCTCCAGTTTGTTGTAAGGTGTCAGGAACAGGGATTCAGATTTTTCTTAGTGCTAAGTAATTATCTCAGTGTCACCTATTACGTATAAATAATCAGTTTTTAGTATTAAAAAAAAAACTTTTAAGTTTCTCCAAAATAACTTAGGAAAATGAACTAATATTCATTAGTAATCATTTACTCTTTAAAGTTTACCATTCCTTTGGTGGTAACTAAAGGTGATAACATTTCCCATTCAAGGTCAAGGCATTGTATTTTCTCTTACTCCCTGAAGGTCATCTGTCTGGAATGACTTTATGTATTTGGCAAAATTTTATTTATTTTTAACATTTGTTTTATATAACAATATTCTTTCTTATTCCCTTAACTTTTCACACCTGGAGTGGCATAATTCACTTTCTCCTTAAAATTCCTGTTTTTTGGTCATATCATTAATGCTGTACAATGAGTTTTTTATGAGAATTTTTTTTTTTCCTGAGATTTTTGATTAGAACAGAAACTTTATTCTTACACCTTAGCAGAAGATCCTGGCAGTTAACAAATAGATGTTATTTGGAATTAGGTAACTAGATGAAATTGACTGGCTCAATTGCTAATTTTATGACTTCAGCAAGTTATTTTGTTAACCGTAAAACTGGGATACTATTTCTTAGTTAATTTTTAAAAGCATGAAATAAAATACATGAAATGCATAATACAGACCTGAAAACAGGCTATATGTTTAAGATTTTTTTTAGGTCCTTGCCATCCCACCTCCTTTTTTATTCACTTTGAATGCCCTTTTATCTGCTTGTGAACTCCTGAGGTCAGTGTTAAGACTTCCCTACTCCCTAATCTTAAATTAGTTTCCCTTGTTTCACACTTTCATAGTTGAAATGACTTCTTCACAGCCACTGGGAACCTCTGTGCTGTATCCCTAGCACTTGCCCTGTTGCCTAAGTTTTAAATCAACTGTATCTAAAAATCATTACTCTTAAAAATTACTTTGAAAATAATTGAGTCATATATAGAACTAAAATGTCTTAAGCCATGCCTAGTTTCATATTTAGAACCAAAAATCCCTAAGCCATTCTGTTTAAGTAACTGTTAGAAACTATTCTGTAAAATGAAGAAAATGAGAGACATGGAAACTGATTGGGAGAGTTAAGCTTTACTCTCATTTTTCTCAGCCATTAAGAAGCTGGAAGTATGTTTCTTTAAAGAAGAAAAATTCACAGTGTGCCATCTTATTTCTCTTTTCTGCCACTTTTTAAAAACCTTCTTATTCAGAAATTCAGCAAAGTAAACCAAGTCTGACCTAATACTTTGATTTACCTCTACATATCTTAATAATTCCTTTAATTTTACATTGTGTAAATATTTATGCTCTGGAGGTGATATTTCTTTTAGTGGTCAGGAAGTACCTCTTGTAGTACACAGACACTTAAGATTTTGTTACCTGAGCACATACTGTAGGGATAAGAGGGCTAATGTGCTTTATTATGCTTTAAAGCTATACCTACTGAGATGATATATCTAGCCTGTAAGTTTATAGCCAGTTTGAAGGAAAATTGTTTATTTTTGTTTTTGGAGACAGAGTCTTGCTCTATTGTCCAGGCTGGAGGGCAGTGGCACAGTCTTGGCTCACGACAATCTCTGTCTCCCAGGCTCAAGCTATCTTCCTACCTCAGCCTCCCAAGTAGCTGGGACTACAGGCATGTGCTGCCGTGCCAGCTGATTTTTGTATATTTTGTGGAGATGTGGTTTGTCCATGTTGTCCAGGCTGGTCTCGAACTCATGAGCTCAAGTGATCCACCTGCCTCAGCCTCCCAAAGTGCTAGGATTATAGGTGTGAGTCACCATGACCTGCCAGAAAATCATTTTAACTTTAAAAGTTGATTTATATACTTGGAAAATTAAATTGGTTATAAATCAGAAAATTTGGTATAAATTGATTTTTAAAAATGATTTTTAAAGTGTTTAGCACACAGAACACAATTTACAAAAGTAAATTGGGGTGCAAATCTGACAAGTGGTCGAAAATCTGAGTATTTCAACTTATATGGATTTTAGCATTTTTTCCCCCTTAAATCTTGAAGTTTAGTACATGTAAATTGCTGCGTGTTTCAGAAGAGTTTTCCTAATTGTATATTGGGGCTGGGTACAGTGGCTCACGCCTGTAACCCCTTTGGGAAGTCAGTAATCCCAGCACTTTGGGAAGCCAAGGCAGGAGGATCACCTGAGACAAGGAGTTGGGCAGCAGAGCAAGATCCTGTCTCTACAAAAAATAAAAAATAATGACTGGTTGTGGTGACACGCATCTGTAGTCTCAGCTGCTCTGGAGGCTGAGACAGGAGAATCACTTGAGCCCAGGAGTTTGATGCTGTAGTGAGCTGTGATTGCACCACTGCACTGTAGCCTGGGCAACAGAGCAAGATGTCATCTCAAAAAAAAAAAGGTAGGGGGTGTGTGTGTGTGGGTGTGTGGGTGTGTGTGTGGGTGTGTGGGGGTGTGTGTGTGGGGGTGTGTGTGTGTGTGTGTGTGTGTGTGTGCCTGCCTGCCTGTCAATTTCATGTCACTTTCAGACTAGAACTTTGTTAAAATATTAAACACTGAAGACTTTTTTTTTTTTTTTTTAAACAGGGTATGGTTCCATTTGTATTTGTTGGCACTAAAGAAAGCATTGGAAATGTGCAAGTTCTTTTAGAGTATCATATTGCTTATCTAAAGGTTTGTATATGATTCATACTATATTCTGATATCGTTGCTGCATTTACTACATAAATGTACATTTGCTACAAATTTTAAATGTCCTCACATTAAACATTTTATATTTGAAGTAAACTTCAAATCTTTAAATATTTTTGTTAATTCAGCTTCAGGTTTGCCATTTTTCTACATAAGAATTTAAAAAGTCTTTTGTCATCTTAAAGTGATTGGCGTTGTGTGCGTAGTTTCTCTTCTCTCTGAGTTTTTATATTTCTTTCTAGTTTAAGAAATGATTACTTTCCTTTGTCTTCATGCAGTTTGACTCTCAGATCACTTATCTATCTGCATGTTCATACTGCAGCCATTTAGTTTTTACTTTTGTACTTTACATACAAATAGGGTACAGAACCAGGAGTGATATTGGGATTCCTTGGTAACTTTGGCATTATGCAAATCATCTGCATCATCTCCATAGACATTATTTGATAATTTGTAACCATTGTTAACAAAATAGTCTATATGAGTTGATACATAAAGAGCAAGGGTTTTTAGAAAAATATGACCCATAAATTATTAAACATTTTAATTTTATTTTCTGCTCTTTCCCTTTTATTCCTGCTGTTTCTCTTTTTAAAGTATAATAATATCCTCACCTGTTCTCTGCCTCTAGTATGTTTTCCTCCCAGTCTATTGTATCATTGCTGCTGTTACTATTTTGAGATCACTCCGATAATGTCATTTCTTTTCTTTTGAAATTCATCTTTATATGAAAAGTCACAATTAAAACTGGCATTTTGAAGCCAGTTTTATCTTTCAAAACTCATCTTTTAACAAAGAGTTTTCTCTAGACATCTAACCCTTGCATCTTGTAATGACCTCAATTTCTGAATGACCAAGTCTAGCAGCCCTTCTAGGTCACAACTCATGTGTGTCTACTTTGATAGGAAAGTAGCTTGTTAATAGTACCTTTCATAGATGCTGCCTTTATCTCATTCAGCAGTTCTAACTACTTGAGGGCAAAATCTGGTAATATTGTATAATTGTTAGCTATTTAATAAATAACTTATTTTAAAGCTGTTAAACATCCCCTTGATCGGGGAGAGTCCATGTCCTCTTTTATATTGTATGCCTATAGCAGCATGTTCGGCACACTCTAGGCCGTTCAGTAAATGTTGAACTGAAACAGCAAATGACCTCATCAATTCTGTTGACTAGGAACACAATGCTCTTTACCATCTACTTCCCTAAGGTCACAGTTTTGGTAAGGAGTACAGCTCTAGCTCTAGGCTTTAGGAAGACAAAAAGTTATATATAAGAAGACTTACTCGTTTTTGTTTTGATTGTAGGAAGTAGAACAGCTAAGAATGGAACGCCTACAGATTGATGAACAGCTACGACAGATTGGTATGGGTTTCAGACCTTCTTCCACCAGAGGGCCTGAAAAAGAGAAAGGATATGCCACTGATGAAAGTACCGTCTCTTCTGTACAAGGTTCTAGGTCTTATAGTGGAAGAGGCAGAGGTCGTCGGGGCCCTAATTACACCTCCGGTTATGGTAAAAAAAACTTTTTTTTTGTAGTAGTAATAATAGTAGTTTAGGTGCTCTAACACATTTTCTTATAATTAGTTCATTATCTTGGCTTTGAGGGTAGAAGGTAGTTTTGAAGGTTTGGTACATGTCTTAATAGTAGTGATGGTATACGTTAAAATGACAGTAAAATATATAAAATTTCCAAGCAGTTATGTAACGAAGCAAAGCATGTTTTTAAGTTGGTATTTCATTGTCATGTTCATTATATTTACAAAGAATACATATGTAACTTGTTTTTCAAATACTTTGCTAGTACAGTTTTATACATTTCCCAGTAAATACCTAATAATGGTGGTGATACTTTTAGGAATCATCTTTTGTCTACCCTCTTCAAGTAAAAAATGAAAAGTATGCGAATCACTGCCAAGATTGCATATAGCAAGTCTTTACTAGCTTTTAAAAAATATTTTATTTACTCATTTGGCATATTTGAATATATTAACATCTCACATCTGGAATTACTTTGTTTAACAACATTTCACTAAAATGAAGGCTCTGAAAGCCAGAATCTAATTTAACACTTCATAAATGAACATTTTCTAAAATATATTTCACTGTGAGGATTGGGTATAACCCAGGTATGAAGGGGACAGTGGAGTGATGGTAGTCAACAATTCTCTAATCCTAAATTCTCCCTTATTCTTCTTCAGCTTTGGAGTTGTTCCATTTTTCTACATTTGGACTTGGATCTTAGCAGTGACCTGATTTGTTTTTTTCCTTCGCCCATTTTCTTTCTCTTTTCCTCTTCTTTTCTTCACTCCTATACTTACTCTCTTTTGAGGAAATACAAAACATTTTCCAAAATGTAAGGCATTTAAGGAATACAGAAATAAATGCAAATTTCCTGCTTAATTGAAGGATCATGTAATGCTGACAAAGTTATATTAAACCTGAACTACCTTCAATTTGTTGTAGAGTTGTAAGTTTGTGTCCCTTCCCTTTAATATCATATCTTTATGTTCTCATTTTCTTACATATATATTTTTATTTAATGCAGTATTGAAACCTAAATAGCAAAATTCTAATAAAGAAGTATTCAGCATATAAATGGATGAACATTGCAAACTGTTATTATATTTCTGAAAATGTTTAATGCAAAAGACAGTTAACCAGTAATCACATAGAAATTAAATATATTCTCATTGATTTTTGAACCATACATTGTTAGCATAGATAATCAGACTTACTGGATGAAGAGTATGATGAATTCATTGAATAATTTTATTAGCTTTTGTGGGAAGTCTGCTTATTGAGAGCTTACTCTGGCAAAATGCTTTTGTTGAGAGTAGATAATTTATGTGAGAGGTAGAGAAACATCATCTGGATTCAAGAAAGCTGTGCAAATTGTTCAGTAGATGGCACTCTTAGCTCTGAATCTTAGCGGAATTAATAACATTTTATTTCTTGAAATCTGAGTGGGCTTGGAAAAGCATGAAAAACCATTTGAATTTGGTTGTAGATGTTCATGTATACTTTATGTGAGCGGGACTTTTAGTTGATTTTTTATATGTATATAAAAAGTATGAGTTTTATCAGTTTAATAGGAACTATAAGAAACATTTCCCAGTGTAACATCTCCGAAGTTGGTATGTGCGTTAAATTGGACATCTTACAACTTTAACAACATTTTCTTTTTTAATGACACGTAAAATAATATCTTAAAATTGATGGCCTCTTGGAGTTGATAAAACGTGATTAGTTTTAGCTATTAAGCTTAGCACAACTATTGAAAATGATATAAACCATCTTCATAAGGTGATTTTAGAAGTTTGAGGGGGAAAATATGATTTTAAAATTGGTTAAAAACACGATGTCATTATGTTTCGTTACTTTTTTTTTTTTTTTTTTGAGACAGAGTTTCACTCTTGTTGCCCAGGCTGGAGTGCAGTGGTGCGATCTCGGCTCCCCGCGACCTCTGCCTCCTGGGTTCAGGTGATTCTTCTGCTTCAGTCTCCTGAGTAGCTGGGATTACAGGCATGCACCACCACGCCTGGCTAATTTTGTATTTTTAGTAGAGACAGGGTTTCTTTCTCCATGTTGGTCAGGCTGGTCTCAATCTCCCGACCTCAGGTGATCCGCCCACCGTGCCTCCCAAAGTGCTGGGATTACAGGCGTGAGCCACCATGCCTAGCCTGGTGTCGTTACTTTTAAAGCTTGTTTAAAAAGACTTTGAATCCCCAACTTGTATTTTACAAAATTAAGGGGTTGGAATAAATGGTTTCCCTGATTATTCATTAGAGTATTTGTTTTCAATTGCAGTAATAAATTATCACAAAATTAGAGGCTTGAACCACAGAAAGTTACTACCTTATAGTTCTGTTGGTCAGAAGGCTGACATGGGTCTCACTGGGCTAAAATCTTGTCAGCTGGGCTACGTTTCTTTCTGGAAGGTCTGGTGGGATTCCCCTTTCGGTAGTTGAGAAAGTTTCTCTACTTTTAAAGACCCAGTGAGATTAGTTTGGACCCACCTGGATTATCCAGGATAGTCTCTCTATCTCAGGGTCCTTAGCCTTAGTCACATTTGCAGGGTCCTTTTTGCTATCACAGAAACATTTCATATGGGTTATTAAGAATTATTTAATATGAATAATGTTGAGCACTAGCCAATTCATTAAAATTTTGGGGGTTATAGCCTCAATATCTGTTTTACCTACTGAAATCTATGATTTAGACATTCCCTCTAAGTATCTTGAATACTATATGTAGGTTAAATTTAAGGAAGACTTTACTTGCTGTGACACGGGGTTAGATAAATACTAGTCTGGATTTCTAAGGATACTTCAATAGGAACTTTTGAGAGAGTCTTCAAAATGAAGTATTCTTTATTTGCCCTGAATTTTGGCAATGGTTTCAGATAGGGTATATGTGTGTAAATAAATTCAGAAGTTCTTAAACGTTCTGAAAGATTTTTTTTTTCACTATTCAAGGAGAGATAAATTGCCTTCATTGCAACTTTTATGACATCATGTTTAATAAAGTGCTTTTTGTCATTTGGTGAAATAAATGTTAGGGGAGATTAATTCCCTTCCCCGAGATTCTAATCCCAACAAAGAATTGAAAGTGAATAATAGAAATTTGATGTATTCTTTGAAAAACCACATATCCAACTAATTACCAAATTGTTTTTATAATTGACTAGTTAAATCTATTGTTAACAACATGTGGAGAAAAGGTAGGCATCCTAGAGTTACCTTTAAAGGAGAAAGGAAGTGAGTGGGCACCTTCATGTATAAAACTTCATATACATATATACATATACCTTCATGTATAAAACTTTACATTTTATTCCCTGCACTTTAATACTTAAAACTTTTTATGTCTGAAGAGCTCATTTTTCCTCAAATGATTGCAGAGTTTAAATATAGGGAACTTCAAGGTATTTCATGACATCACTCTTATCTGAGAATTTAGCAAATGAACTTCAAAATAATGTAGCAAATTATTTGGTTGAGAAAATTGTTATACACTCTGCTAGGCATTTGAGGACATGTAAGATGGAGTTCCAACCTTTATCATAGACCAATTTTGAAGTAATTCCAAAGGAGGAAAAATAACATGGCATAGTCTATGATAAATATGGGGCGATTTTAGGATAACAAAAAATGGGGAGATGCCTGTTTTAGTTGCAGTGGTCTGGAGTTAGAAATTGAACTAGGCTCTGAAGGAGATATATTTGGTCATATAAGAGGGAAAGAGGAAGTGGCATCCCAGAACTAACAAGTAGAAATGAATATGATAGTGATTGAGTCATACATATCTGACACTTTAGTTACAGTAATTATTAAATAATGATACTGTAGGCTTCTGATGATATCTTTGTAGTGTTTAAATAAATTTTTGAAAGGTCACCATTACAATAGTTGCAGTGTTAGAAATGGTCTGTAAACTTTTAAAGGCATGCTGAGTATTTGTCTCACTGGTCATGGCTTTAGTTCTGTTGTCAGGAGAGAGACCTTCTGTTTCAGAGAAACCTTAAATTCTGTTTAGTTGTTGCACATATTAGGTTGGTGCAAAAGTAATTGCGGTTTTTGCCATTAAAAGTAAAACAGAAAGTAAAAGTAATTTTAATGGCAGAAACCACAATTTAAGATGCTAGTAAAGCATGCTATCATTTTATATACAACCTACTGGAAAAATTACTATGATAAGCTGGAAGCTTATAATAAAGATGCCATCAATTATAAGAAATATCTTGATTTCAGAGATGTTAACATGTGAAAAGTATACCCTAGAATCAGTGAAATGATGGTGAAATACACTATACAGTTAAACTATTCATTTTTGTAAATATGATTAATTTACTCAAATATTGGATAGAAGTTATTTTTATTGTATGAATAATTTAGGTTATTAAAACCCAAATGAGCAGAAACATTTGACTATCCATATTAAGTACATGTTAATATTGATACATGATGGATGCTCTGTTTGTTCTTTTTTGTGTGTGTGTGCCAAAACCCAGGAATTAATGTTATTAATGTATTTTCTGTAATTTTTCTGTTAACTGCATTTCTGCACATTAGTTTTTTTTAACTTCCATGACTTTATATTTCCTGGATATTGTCCTTTTTTGCTGATGGAATGGTCACACCTTTGACTATAACATGACATAGCCCATCTTAGACTGTAGTGAGGGATTCTTCTGCTGGTTTTGAAGAAGTGAGCAGCCTTCTGCACATCAGTTTATTTTTTAATCTGTATTAAGTAATAGATACTATACTATATTAATAGTATAATAATATTTGATTATTCCTTAGTACATTTCAGATTGGTTTTAACTTTCATGGATCTTTCTTTGAAGCAGCCAAACGGTATTGCTTATTTAAACAATTTGTAGGAAATAATTTTGAACATTTTAAAAGCCTCTTTTTATAGAAATCTAATTGGTTTATGTTCTTTTCTTCTCCAAGGTACAAATTCTGAGCTGTCTAACCCCTCTGAAACGGAATCTGAGCGTAAAGACGAGCTGAGTGATTGGTCATTGGCAGGAGAAGATGATCGAGACAGCCGACATCAGCGTGACAGCAGGAGACGCCCAGGAGGGAGAGGCAGAAGTGTTTCAGGGGGTCGAGGTCGTGGTGGACCACGAGGTGGCAAATCCTCCATCAGTTCTGGTAGTCTTTTCTATACTCTGTCAGCATCCATTCTTTGTAAACAGTATAATTTTACACAAGTTAGTTCATCTCCCAGGGCCATCCATTTTTGGAAGTTTCTCTTTCTACGCGTCTTAGAGAAGGTAGTGGATCATATAGAGTATCAGGAAAGGCCCTTTTAGAGTGTTTCTCAGTGAAGGTTTACTTAGAATATTCTGGTCACAACTTTAGTTGACAGCTTTTCTTTATATTATGAGGGTCAGATGTTTATCTCTTCAGGTTTGGGAGGCTTATATAATTAGAAATTTTTTGTTTTCCCTAGAATTTTTGGGTTATGTATTTTTGTTTGCCAGACAGACCCAGAGATTTCTAATGCACGGAGAGATGTCAGTACTTTTCTATATTTAGTATTGAAAACTAAGTGAAGAGCGTTCTTAGCTATACTATATAGTACTTTGGGAACAGGGAAAAATTGTGGAATTAACTAAGTTTTTTAATCGTTTGAGGAATTGTGCTGTAAAGGAGTGTTTGGATGACTAAAGATTTGAGGGTGTAAGAAACATTTTACTTAATTCTGTCTTCTAAAATTTTTTTATGCTTTACATTAAGTTGTAGGAGTTTCCAGAATATTCTTGGTTAGCATAACAGGCTAGGGGGATAATTGCCAGGGATACATAGACTATTAAGGATATAACTTTAACATATCATTATGGTATACCACTTTAAGAAACCCACACTTTCCTTAATGTTATACCCATGAAAACTTTTGTAGTATTTTAATATTATAGAAAGTGTGTGTAGATACATTAAATAAGATGCCAGCTGTGCTTACAAATTACAAAAACTGGAACAAATCAGGGCAAAAATTAGGAACTTGTTCTTTGTTTGTTTAGATTTTCTCACTTTCCACAGTAATATTCTTTGAGCCCTAATAAACTTACAGGCTTTCAGGAAAATAGCTTTTATATTTTAGTACACTGTGTACAGTTACCAAGGTGATTAAAATTACAGTATACTGAACTGAAAAATAAATGTACTTGACCTAGTGTTTTATGATTAATGGATACGCTTAGTGTCTTTTGCAAAGATGGTTAGCTTGCTAGCTGTTACCAAAGGAATCTTAGGAAAAATCGGAATTAGGTGAATTTCTGCTATAAATTTGATTGTTGGAGGTAATAAATGCACATAGGTAAGACGGGTATTTTTCTTATGAATTATACCTTAACAGTTTTTCCTTTTCTACCTTCACCTAACCTTCACACGTTTTTTCTAAAGATGGAGTACTAGTCAGCATTCGTTTCAACATTTTCCTTTCATAACCAGTTAGAAGTTCAACCTTATTTAATTGGCTGCTTTGTTTCATCTTGTTTTGATTGCTTCAGTTCATAGTTACAGATTTCTATTATGTCATGGAATGTAGGTATTGAGTATTATTTGGGAAATAGTCTATCAACATCAACACAAGAAACCTGCAGTCATTTTGAACTCATTTACGGGGACGAAAGCTCTTTCGTATAATTATTTCTTAACAGCCGAATATTTATTTCTTTTCACTTTTGTTTTTCTAGCCTCTGGGCAGGATAACCTTGAAATGTGAATGCCAGAATTAGCATGTAATACACTATTTTCTAATGTATATTTTAAAAACAAGGCACAGGAAATGTTAGGAAGCCAAGATGTCTGGTCACTTTCTGCTTTAATTTTTCATCACCACTTAAAGTTTTATCATATTTAATTATCTTTGTTATTTTCCAGGTAAATAATATTGAAAACATTTTATGTGAAGACAGTGCATTTTTATTGGGGGAGATTGAAGTTTATCATTAATTGATATAGTTCAATATAGATCAAACATTCATAATTGCAGTCCTCTTAAACGAATATTTCTTGCCTCTGACATGAATATAGTGCTCAAAGATCCAGACAGCAATCCATACAGCTTACTTGATAATACAGAATCAGATCAGACTGCAGACACTGATGCCAGCGAATCTCATCACAGTACTAACCGTCGTAGGCGGTCTCGTAGACGAAGGACTGATGAAGATGCTGTTCTTATGGATGGAATGACTGAATCTGATACAGCTTCAGTTAATGAAAATGGGCTAGGTATGTAAGCACTTAGGGAAAAGAAATACATATATATATATATATATATAAATTGTATACTATTGTTAGTGTATGAAGCTTTTTTCAAAGAAAGTATGCAATTCACAAATTGACTTTTTCTTAGTGTTTACTTGGAACAAGGTAGATAGCTTTTTGTCTGTCTTAAATGTTTAGTTCTCAGATTTCTTATAGCCAAATTATTTGAAACTTGGAGGGTTAAAGTGCCCTTTGATGCCATTAAATCAGTACAGCAAGGTACTTAGTGCTTTTATTGTCCCCAAGCTAAAATCAGGCTTTCATCTTACCTCTTTTAAAATAATTATAAATGACACTGGTAAAGGTATATATATCAAGAGTAGGCATTAATTTTCAAGGGCTAAAATGTCATTAACTTCGGTATAAACCAAACTGTACTAGAGAGGAAAACTGTGTCCCTGAATGATGGCAGTTTAAGTCTGAGAGTTTTACTGTGAGTTAAAACCCTCTGAATTTCCAGATGATAATTCCATTTTTAATCCATTTGGAATGCTGAAAGCTACAAAAATGTATTTCCTGTCAGTAAACATTTGTTGTTTTATTTTTGGTGTTTAGTTAAAAGTTTATTTTTAACCTTTAAATCTTTGAAGGAAAGGTTTTTTTTTTTGTTTGTTTGTTTGTTTTTGTCAGAATAGTTCATGGTAAACTTTGCAATTACAGATGATAGTGAAAAAAAACCCCAGCGACGCAATCGTAGCCGCAGGCGTCGCTTCAGGGGTCAGGCAGAAGATAGACAGCCAGGTAACTTGAGTGGACCTGTTGACAACATCAGGTTACAAGCATGAAAAAAATGTCATATGTCTGCTTTCTAAATATATTATACTTACATGTACACATGCGTGCATATACATTCAAAATTTGCATTGCATAAATTGTTTATTCAACTAATAAGACTACTACTATTAAGAAAATGCATTCTTCCTTCGCAGTGTGTTAGTAACTTGTCTAATTGAACTAATGTTGTGTCCTAATTGTTTACATGGAAATACTGTTGAGAAGACCATTTTGTTCACTTGCCGGTTTCTTCACACTTGAGATGGGGCCTGCCATCCCAGGGACTATGTTGTAGATTGTGATTGAGGTTGATTGGCAAAACTGGGCAGCTTTTGCATGGTGTCTGCTTACTGTATCTGAATTCAGCACCTCATTTTTGTGGGAGTTGTAATACCCACAATTTAAAAAAGTATAAAAGAGAAAAATATTTGAAGGTGTCTTTAACCTAATATGAGGAATGCATGTTATGTTTTTGTTTGTTTATTGTAGTGTGATGCCTTTTCCCTTACACCCACTAACTATTCAAATTAATAGTACTTACTTTTAGAATGTTTATTTTATGTAGTCATTAATTCTTAGTAACTTCAAAGAAAGTTGTTTGCTGTGTCTATTATTTTGAACATAATTCCATTTCCTATGTACAGAGAATCACATGTATATTCACAATGAAGCAATTGTGTGCACCAGAAATAAACCCCTTTCAAACTAACCAATTTTTGCATTCTTTCCAAAACCAGTTCTTTTATGTGTTTTCCCCAAATAAAGAATGTAAATTCTGGCATCTTTACTATTTTAAATTTAGTGGTTGTAGAGACATTTGGGAAAACTGATTAAGAGAATTAGTTTCCATCCCTAAAAGTTCATGTTTTAAAGATAGTTGGAAAATTTTAGAGCAATTAAATATTGTCAAAAAATTGGAAGTGTCCAGAAAATATTTGTTTTCCTTCTCCTCCTTTCCTCCCCTCCTTTAATGTTGGAAATATATTTTAGGGCTGAGCGCAGTGGCTCATACCTGTAATCCCAGCACTTTGGGAGGCCAAGTGGCAGGATTGCTCGAGCCCAAGAGTTTGAGACCAGCTTGGGCAGTGGGATCCCGTCTAGAGAAAATACAAAAATTAGCTGGATGTGCTAGTGTGCACCTGTAGTCCCAGCTACTCTGGAGGCTGAGGCGGGAGAATCACTTTAGCCTGGGAGGTCGAGGCCGCAGTGAAGGGTGATCGTGCCACTGCACTCTAGCCTGGGTGACAGAGTGTGACCCTGTCTCAAAAAAAAAGAAGTGTTTTAGATGAAGAGATTATTTCATTTTTTGAAGGTGGTACAGCAGTGATACATTTTCTGGCCCTACTGTAAACAAGAAAATTCAGGCTATCAGTATGAATGTAACAATATATTACAGCATTTATTAACTAGATACATGCTGGTTTATTACCAAGTCAGCAGGCATAAACGGAGTAACAGTGGGGTTTGTTGGAGAAGAGGCAAAAATTTCTGTATGGTATTAATTGCAACTTGAGTAGTTTGGAGGCTTCAACAGTTTGACAATGATTTCTGTTCCATACTGCATCTGTTCCTGTTTTACTACTTCTTTGGAATTACTACTTCCCTCTTTTAAAACTTATTGCATTTCCTAGCTTGCCCCTTCTCCCAAAAGATAGGGTGGGTGAAACAAGCACAAAATTGTTACCCTTGATCCTGGTAGCAGTTCTAGGAGGCAGCCTCCATCTAAAGTTAACATCAACATTCTCTTTAAAACGCTCATTTAATTTGATCTCATCTGCTCAAAATTTCTTGCTGCTCTTCATGTAAATTAAGCAGTGAATATTCTTTACCATTCTTAGAATGTGACAAGACACACTGGTGTCCAGTTGATTAACTTGGATCCCTTAGAGGAAATTCTAGAGTCCATGTCATTACACAAATTGCCTGTATTTTTTCTAGATATTGTTATTTATTAATCTGTATTGGATTTTTAAGGGGCTTTGTATTATAAGAACTGGCTATGAATAGGTTTTTATTTGAATTAACAGAGGTTTCTTTTGGCTTCCTTTTATTTAGGTAGGGGATACCCCAGCTAAGTGCTTGCTGATTTAGTTGAAAACTGTATCAAAATATATTATTCTATCTCTCTACACAGTGGATGAAAGGTTCTAGGAATTGTTTCAACATGTGTTAGGTTGGTGTAGTTTTTGCACCCATCCCAAAATGGTGAAAACCACAATTACTTTTGCACCAACTTAATTTAGCAGCAGGGTTTCCAGTTAGATGTTTAGGTGTCACTGAGGGCCGAACTTGGAAACAGTGCATTCGCTATGCTGTTCCCCACACTGGCTAGAATTGTTCTTGTAATAGGTTTGCTGCCATGTATATAGACATAATAAAGTGGATTATTACAATAGCCCTTTTCCCAATATTGTAAACTCTTTTTAATGTAGTTATAAATATATTAGCAATGAATTTAATTTAAAAAAGCCTCAAGATGAGCGTACTGAGTTTCTTACAGTTTGGAAGGAAAGAGGTAGTTTCAGATTTGAAACATCTTTAGTGGTTTTCTAGTAAATGATATATGTAAGTTCTTAAATAGGTTGTTCCCTTGTAGTTTTAAAAGATATACATGATAGTTCTAGGAAGTTCTTGGATCTTATGACAGTGTTAGCATGTTAATTCATAATTAAGAAACATGAATTGTAAATACTATCCAGCTTTTTATCATACCTGAATGATTTAGTTGTTTTCATAGAATTTATACTTTATGGACCAATTCTCCCCATACCTAGTGACTTTAAATAAATAATTTAAAATTTACCGGAGTTTTCATTCTTCACATAATTAACTTGCTCCCATAATTTAAAATATATATTGTGCTTTTACATATCAGGGATTTTCTAAAACAGTTTGTGATAGAAAATAATTACTTGAAAGAAAAAAGGGTGGTTCTTTTGATATTTCTTAAAATCAGTGAATTCTAAGTTTCAATTCTTTTTTTTTTTTTTGAAACAGAGTTTCACTCTTGTTTCCCAGGCTGGAGTGCAGTGGCACAATCTCAGCTCATTGCACCCTCCACCTCCCAGGTTCAAGCAATGCTCTTGCCTCAGCCTCCTAGGTAGCTGGAATTACAGGCTGTGCCACCACGCCTGGCTAATTTTTCATTTTTAGTAGATGGGTTTTCACCATGTTGGTTGAACTCCTGACCTCAGGTGACCCGCCCACTTTGCCTCCCAAAGTGCTGGGTTTACATTTGTGAGCCACCATGCCCGGCCCTAAGTTTCAGTTCTTGAGTGTTGATGTATAAAGTGAGTCAGTCCACATACTGTAGAACATAGGTAATTTGTTGAAGTTGGGTTGACGGTAGGGTGTTAGTTTCGTTTAGTCTTTTTCCTAATTCACTACTGCTGCTTCTTTGCAAATACACATTTAAGATAGTCCCTACCAAGACTGACAAAGGGGGCGTGGGAGGGGTGTCACTGAATACACTGTGGACCTTTTCCCAGTCTGATCAATGTCCACATTTTTAGGGTGGTGGTCTGTCATCTTTAGTTTGCTTGTAGTTTCTTATTTTAATCACTCAGAATAGTTTCTAGTGTGAAACATTGAAACAAAGCCATAGGATAAACCACACTTGGATATCTTAATTGTGCTTTAAAAAAAAAAAAAAAATTGAGTAAATATTTTTGTATCTGATGAAATTTTCAAATTTAAGTATATTATACTATGATTTGGATCAAATTTGCCCCATTTACCCCCACTGACAATTGCAAACACTGGGCTTAGTACACTGCGTTTGTATTTCCTTTTACTGGTTGTGGGTTTCTCTACCAACTTTGTTCCACAACCTTAGGGTCAACCAGAAGCAAATAGCTGGATTCTTGGGAAAGAGGAATTTAATCTAGATTTCCTCAATCTCAAGCTTGAAATTTTCTTCAGCACCAAAAACCCAGGCAGATTTTTAAAGCTTTGTTTTTGGTTGGAGGTGATACCCAGCTTAAGAAACTTTTGACACTGGGTGACCCACCACTAGTTTAATAGTGAAATTACCCTTTATCCATAAATAAACTTTAGAAATATTTTTTCAACACCTGTAATTTTTTTCTCATCTTTAACAGTCACAGTTGCAGATTATATTTCTAGAGCTGAGTCTCAGAGCAGACAAAGAAACCTCCCAAGGGAAACTTTGGCTAAAAACAAGAAAGAAATGGTAAGGAGAATTTAACCTGTAGGTTTTTGTTGTTTTTTTAATTTTTGGTATGGTTTAGCTTTATTTTTTTACTACTTTTACTGTGTGATCACTTGTTTCCACAAATAGACAATACTATTTTACTTAGACTCTTGAATATGTTCTTGGCCCCAGATAACTGAAGATATGCATGCTTGAGCCTGAAATGCTTTGTAGTTAGAGCTCCAAATAGCATTTATAAAATTCAATCTGCCCAAAGATATTGGGCATAGAGACTGTTGCCTAATTCAGGAGCAATAGGCTATATACCTCTTCTCATTGATGGATATAGACCTTTTAAATTTTAGTTCTTTTAAATGCTTTATGGTATTTGATATGTAAATGTGATTTTTCAAAAGGTGAGTAAAGTAGGTGATTATTTAAATGTTTAATATTAACTGTTTATGTCATTTTCATGGTGAGCTTTCCAGTGTTTTAAAAGTAGGTACAGTTTTCGTTAGTTCAGATGTTTTGTGTGGTTTGGGCACTGCTAGGTACTAGAGATACAAAGTTGGAAAGACCCATAGAGTGGAATACTTTGGTATTTGTTTTGAATTTTAGAGACGTTTTAATACTTTGATCCATTGTGGCATATGAAACTGAAAATTTTCATTAGCTAATTAATGTTTATGTAGCTGTTTTCCTCCTCAGCTATAGATTTCATTTATAAAGAAGTTGAAAAAGTTGTCTCCCTTTGGCAGGCAAAAGATGTGATTGAAGAGCATGGTCCTTCAGAAAAGGCAATAAACGGCCCAACTAGTGCTTCTGGCGATGACATTTCTAAGCTACAGCGTACTCCAGGAGAAGAAAAGATTAATACCTTAAAAGAAGAAAACACTCAAGAAGCAGCAGTCCTGAATGGTGTTTCATAAACTGAAGAAGTTCCTAGTTTACAGTTCTTTTACATTACATTTACAATAGTGCTTGTACAAGCTTGCCAAAGATAGAATATGGATCGCCAGTCTTTACATCGCACTTTCAGTTCCTCCATTTGGAATTCAAAAAGGGGAGGGATCCTGAAGAAATCATATGTTAAACATACTTTGACACCTACTGTGTTATAAAATATATCATCAGATGTGCCTTGAGAATAGTATATGTAACATTAAAAAAAAGTTGCTGGCTATAGGAAATGTTATTTTGTTTTCAAAATATGGCAGAGATGGGGGGTGGTGGGTGGGGTGGGATCCCTATCGTAATATTCTTTATGAAAGCATTAGCTGCTTTTGTTACATTTTTAATATGCAACCACTTCTTCACCTGAGGAAAACTAGAATGAAATGCAGTCTAAAATATTTTGCACTGAATTGTAATTTCTTCATTAGTTTAGTCTGGAAACTGGTCTGTTTTAATATGTTTTTTAAATGCTGTATGTAGAGGAAAATCTGCAGACCACTGGAATACATTTGTTAAACTCATCTGCAGGGACACTGGGCGATACTTGGCAGTGACTGTTCTACCTTGAGGCTTTGTTTGGTTTATTTATTAAAGTGTACAGTATTTAAAAATCAAACATAGCTTTAGTTAAAACACTAAGCTGAATTAGTCATGTCCATTCAGACATAACCTGAACTACTGAAAAGATCAATTTCCAGAAGGTTTATTCTGTATAAACTACATGTTAGTCTTCAGTAGAGTATCTTTTTTTTTTTTCTTTTTTTTTTTTTTATTTCGGTTGTTTGATGTGCAATATGTTTTTGTATGCAGGTAGTAAATAAACTTTGATCTTCCATTTGCTGAATTTTTTTAACTTTCTACTTTTTACACCAATTGTTGCAAAGTAGTTGGAGCTATTTATAGGCTTAGGATAGTATACTTTGCTTTTTAAAAAGCAGTTATACTTGCTCGTAAATAGCATTAAAATGTCAGCTGGCATTTAATCATTTTGTAATGAATCCTCTGAAATCTTAACACAAGTTTAGGCTGTTAGATGCATAGGTAATTAATAATACATGTGATAATTAGGAAAAAAAAACCTAACAAAATTCTAATCAAAGGCAACTTTGGAAGACAATGGGGGATAGAAGGTATGACAAGCAACTTTTAAATAATAGGCCAATGTTTTGCTTCTTGATTCTCAACTTATTTTGAAGGCTCTCATACCAGTGACTAAAAATCAGTTATTAAACTTTATATGTTTTAGCCAGAGCTTAATTTTTATGAAGATAAAGATGAAGTTTAACAGTGGTACAACAATTAGTACAGCTAATTTTGAGGTCAAGTCAATTGTTAGAAGGCTTTGTTCCACAATATTATATAGACCACTGAATGAAGAATGACAGCCCTTTGCATCATTTGGCATACGAAAAGTGTTTTTTGTGTGCATAGTTTAATTTTTTATGTGCATAAAAATGTGATTTTATATGATCTGAAGGATAATTCAGGATACAGTTTAAAATGTAAAATTTGCCAGTCAGTATATATAACCCTAGCCCTCAAATTAATTATAATTAAGGTTAAAGTACGCTGGTATTAAGTGCTTTTTCCTGAAGCCTTCTAATTGGTTCTTGGTAACAGAATTTTAAGGTGTGAGTAGTGCAACTCTTGTCCTTTATATATAAAAGGTATCAAGTAATTTCATGTTGTGATTTAAAAAAAATTACCCACAAATGTCTTTTTTTAAATCGATCAAAGTTAGAAACAGTTTAGTCTCAGTTCTCTTACATAATTGGGTTAAAAATTATAAGGTATTAGAGGAACTTTAATGCCAAATTGGTAAATAAAATGATTTTTCATTCTCTCCCATGTAGAATAGTCAGATACACTAAAATCCATTTTCCATAAAGATTGTTTCAATGGGAATGGAAGAAACAAAATCTTAAGAGTATAGCTGAACCAGTTCTTCATACTAGCAATAACCACACTAAGTTCATTATTTTACAAATGACTAAACCCAGTGTCTTGTCCTTTAAAAAATATAGGTACTGCAGAATTGTGATAAATATGCATTTGTTTTTTTAAAGAGAGCCCACTCCCCAAATGGTAGCCATTAATTCAGGTAGTCTTCTAAATGTATTTGAGAGGGGTCCGTCTTTTTGGCTGCTATCCTAGTTAGATGAGATGTTGCTATGGGAAGAACTTGCCAGTATACACTAAACAGACACTGAAGCAAAAGATACATTCTGGAGCCAGGCGCGGTAGCTCATGCCTTTGGTTCTAGCTACTCAGGAGCCTGAGGTGGGAGCATCATTTGAGCTCAGTTCTGCGCCATTGAGACCCTCTTTAAAGAGAAGGAAAAAAGGTATTCTGGAAGGTCTTGTGCAGTTCCAACAATGTTTCAGCATATATATATATGTGAATTCATACGATACCTGAACGGAATCACGAAGTAACAGCTGAGATTATATGGTAGCAAAAATGACCTGCTTTTCCTGAAGCTTTGGGAGGCCTACGATTCCTAGTTTAGGCATCACGATCTTTGTTAAGCCTTAAAGGGGGCTAAAACTTCTGCAAAATGGTGTCTCTGGTAACACGTTAGACATAATTGGCAAAAGTATAATAGGAATGCACAAATCTTTGTTTTGAAATAATCATGTATTTTAATGTGGAATTAGAAGCAGCACATCAAACTGGTGAGTTCATAGAAACTTACCTCAGATGCTGCTGGGTTCCATTGCCGTTGTGTTAAGTCACATTTTTGTAGCTGCTGTTAGCTGTGTCTAGTGTTTTGTAACCTAAGGAGGGTCTTATAAAAGTTGGTATGTTAACTAAATCTTGGATTGGGAAATAGCACCATTTGTATCCTCTGCAAACAGATTTATGCTTTTGAGGTTCAAACCAACTAGTGTTCTCATAGGCTGTTGCCTAAGGACAGATAAAAATGGAAAACAGGCTATGTCCAGGGACAGATGATTGGTGATTAAGAATGGCAGTAAAGGAAAATTACACCCGGATTTTCTTCTATAAGGTTTCAAGGAACTTGGATTTGAACTGAATCTGCTGTTTTGGAAAAAAATCCCAACAGAAAGGATGTCTGTTATTGTCTCAGTCTTCCTGTCTTTGCTACACGATTTGGATCCCTTATGCTTTTTCATAAGAATATGTGTTCGCTATAGTGAATTTGCTAGCCCCGCCCTTTTTTAAAAAAATTTCAGTTATTAGAACGTGTACTTGAATGGACTACAGTTGCTTATAACCCATGTTGATCTTTGATAGTATTTGGGGTTTTATTTCAGGAGCTTTTGCAATAAAGCAGGAACTGCAATCTGCTTAAAGTCAGACTGTTAGCAAGTGGTGTTAACTTAAAACTGACTTAAGCCCATTACATTGAACAGTAGGAAATCACCACTTTTGTAAGGGTCAAAAATGATCAACTATTAACAATTTCTTAAATCTAATTACAAATTTAAAAAAAGTTTATCAGTATATCACTTCAGATTCATCTGTATCTTCTGTACTAGTATTTCCAGTACTGAGGTAAGGTACACAATTCCCCTGGAAAAACTATACTCTAGTTTTGTAAGATGATTTCCCAGTCCATTTGCTTGTTTCTTCTTTTGATAATTCAAAGAGATGCTTTAGGTGACAGTACAGAATTAGAAGCCACTATTTTAGCTCTATAAACTTTTTCTCTATGGTTTCAGTTTTATGCAACCAGAGAGGGCTGGATGAGTTGGTGGTATCTTTAAGGCCCTTCCAATGGTAATTTGAGTCTAATCACATGTCAGACCCTGGGCAACACCTAACCAAATGCCCAAGTATTCTCATAAGGAGTATGCCAAACTTAACTTAAGTGGTGTTTGTTTTACATATGTATCCATCCCAGACATTTTCAACTATGCTGAATGCAATCTATAAGATATTCCAAACAAGGACAAAGTAATTTTTCACAAGTCTTACAGCCCCACTATTAAGTATGCTACTTATTAGCTTCTTGAATTTCTTTGTATTTCAGTGATTGGTATGTTCTTTTTATTTTTGGAAAGTTTTTACCTCTTTGTACCCTCTTAATTGGATTAACTGTAAAATGTACGTACTAATTTATTAGTTTTAGAGAACATTTTCATTAAAAATATTTTCCAATAGTTTTTCTAGATAAACAATTTTTACTTAATTGTTGCCTGGTTGCTTAAATTTCAACCTCTTTAGACTTCCTTTTTCAGCTAACTTGGCTGTCTTCAGGTTGTGAAGAAAAATGTAAACATATATTTGAAATTTCATTAACTGAAACTGCAGTAAGGTGGCAGCAAATGTTAACCACAACAGATTATCCCATATCATTGGACTGTTCTATTATTGGGTCAGGAATAATAGGTGACACAGGATAGAAGCTCTTCCTATATATATCTTGTTACTAAGGCAGTAGTTGGCTCTAAGCTGAAAAACAGCACACTGTACAGCAGTCCAAAAACTAAAACCAGAGCTTAGGTCATTCAAGTTAACTGGTACTCAAGGTTACTCATTCCAGGATACTTTACATAACCAAAAACCTAGGAGAGCATTCTACATAGTAATTTTTTTTTACTTTGTTTACATAAAATTTACAGGTTTTTTTTTTTTCTTTTTAGCTTGGTCTGTTCTTTGACATTGTTGATCCATGTTCTAAATTTTCCTCAGATTTAACCTGTTTGGAGGCTCATGTGCACTCAGAATGTGAACCTACTACAAGCTTCTGAACTGCAAAACAACTTTTTTTTAAGGTCACTGTCAACCTTATACAATTTCTCATGATTGAAAGAGAACTTCTCATTCCAACCTAAAACACCACTAACCCGTTTAAAAATGAAGCATTATGCCTGAGTGAAATTTTATTTTTAGACATTTCTGATACTAAGTTTTCTTTATGGGAGCCCATATATATTCAGTATACTGAATTTACACAGCTTTCAGTGTGGCAATAAGCTAGTTCCCTGATTTTTCTCAGTTCTCATTGGTATTCTATTTAAATGTTTCCATAAGTACTCATCATTTGGAAAATAGTTGATGGCAGGGCAGGATAACTTGCTTAAAACTAAAGTTGGAGAAAGAGTTAACTTCCAGGACAACCCATTATAGCTCACTTCTTACCAACAAAGCAGTATACAGCACCTTAGGACTCATTTCTAATAATGTCAACCCAGATGGCCAGTAAAGCCAAAAGGGAAGAGGCTAAGTGACTCAGAAATCTCTGAATTTGAGGTCTAATATGAAGGCTATAGATAGGAATTCCCCACAAACTTCTAATGAGGACTAATATGAACATAGCAAATTGGAGAAGACAGCCAGGACCTAATTCTAGTTTCACTAGCTGTGGGACCTGAGAAAACGACCACTTGCTCTGGACTTTTGTTTCCCAAGCCATAAAACGTGGAGGAATCCTCACAATTTCAAGTTGGTCATGTATCCTTCCCTTTTACAGAGAAAGCTGAAGTCTCAAAGCTCAGATTTACCTGGCTTCTGCAGAGTTTAACTTGCAATATACCTCCCATTCCCTAAGTGTGTTTAATCATGCCGCCTTCTTTAAAATTTATCTGGAAGCACCAATGAATAAAGACAAAGGCCCCAAACTGGATCTGTGGAGATAAGTACCAGACTCACATCTCAGTACCATCAAGGAAAACATGCTTAGGTTATCAGAATTGTAAAGCCATAGTACAAAAGTTAGGAGAATGGAACTTGGGATGTAAGAAAGATCAGCCATTCTCAGCATGTCGCCTTGGGTGCTTAACTTTACTAAACTTCCATTTCCTCACATGTAAAATGTACATCATAATAACCAGTCTACTGAGAGATACAGGAAGAATACTTAGCACAGTGCTAGTACACTGTAAGTACTCAAATGTTACAGACCAAGTATTTTGTAAGAAAATACCAGTAAAAGATTAAAGTTTTTTTTATGGATCGTATTGGTATCAATCACCTACCATGATCTTTAGAGCCCTCACATGGATGACATTTAAATGTTCAGTTTGCCTAACAGCCTTCAATGAAACATGGATTCTTCTACTTAAAAAAGGTAAGCCTTGAGAAAATAAAACTGATTACTATGCAAGAAAAAATGTGCTCTGCTGTGCTCCCTGGTATTATTTTTAAGTGGTTTCTGTTGTTTTAACACCTGTCTTAAAACAGGTATGCTGTCTGCACTGAACACCCAAAAGTATTTATATCTACTAAGTTAAATTTCCCTTTTTAGAGTTAATGCTTCATTGCCTGTCAGCGTATTATCACTGTCTGTCTTTGAAAAATGTGCTTTTAAGTCTTAACTATTTCTTCATAAAGATCTTGTTCAGAGGAACATTTTTTGATTTGTCCAATGGACTGAAATAAAAGGTTAGTAAACCAAAATACAGTTGATCCTCATTATTAGTGGAATTCCTTATTTGTGAATTTTCCTACTCACTAAAATTTATTTGTAACTCCAAAATCAACATCCTTTTCTGGTCATCTGTGAGTATTTGCAGAGTGACAAAAAGTTTAAACCACTTTATGTGCACAAGGCAATGCTCTACTTGTTTAAGCTTTCACACCATAAACAAGTATCCTTTTTGTGGTCTATTTAGTGCCAAGCTTCATGTTTGTGGTTTTTGTTGGTGATTTTGCTGTTTTAAGATGGTTCCCAAGAGTAGTAGTGAAGCATGCTACCTAGTGTTCTTAAATGCAAAGAAGGCTGTGATGTGCCAAGTATGAGTTATAGTGCTGTTGGCTGTTAATTCAAAGTTAATGAAATACTAAAGAATGTTTTCAAGCAGAAACAGGTAGATCACGGTTATATACTGACTGGCAGACAATATTGTGACCGAAGGGTCACAGAATCTGTATTTCTCTTAGGAACTTGTTCCTTACAGGCGAATTCAGTGTTCACAGCCACCTTAAAGAACAGAATTACCACAAACTAAGAACCAACTAACTGTACCTTCATGTCTCCTTGTCCCTGGAAATAAAATAATTTATCCTGCATAAAAGCCTTAGAAGCTAGTGTTTCATCATACACTAAATCACAACAGACTCCATCAGATTTTAAACAAGGGTATAGGATAGAAAACACAAAGAGCAGATACACCTTTACTTTATAAGGCAGATAAATATTACCTCCACTATTTTTTTTAACCTCAAAAGTCCTTGTATCCTTCAATAATTAAGAACCTTATGATGATTTAAGGAAGTTTAGATGGTAGGTAGTAAAATTTATCATCTTAGAGCTACACATAGAAATATTCCTGTTGGGAAATACATAACTAATTTATATCAGATGTTTTATACAGGTCCTCTGGTTAAGATCCTTATATATTTTATGTTAGATGAACAGTAAGTAATTTGCCTTTAAACATCATTTAAATTAGTATATAAATTCTAAATAGTCCAAATTAAACATGTTGATATTGAGAACATTTGTTTTCAGTTTTGCTAACAGTGTTTATCATAACAATTGCAGAAGTTTGATTATGTCAAGAAATAGCCAACTGAAGGAATAATTTATAAATGGTCAGTACTGTTGAGGGGCTAGCTGAATACAATGTAAATACTTCTCATGCCTGTAATCTAGCACTTTGGGATGCTGAGGCGGGAGGACTGCTTGAACCCAGGAGGTTGAGGCTGCAATGAACTTGTGATTGTATCAGACCTGTACTCTGAAATATTTATACTATTTTTAATGCATGAAATAAAAATTGTATGTACACAGAATACACACACACCCCTAGGTCAATTTGTTAGGTCTAAGTTGTGGTTAAATTCACTTTTAAATACAAGGTACCAAGTATCCAAGTTGCTGGGCCAATTGCCTATACCTGGAACAGCCTTTCCACCGAATAAGGTAAGAGTCCCTACTTAAACAGCCTGAGCTAATTTCCATCATACTATTTATCACAGTCTAATTATCAGTTTATCAGTCTCCCATTAAAGTGGGGGCTCCCTCAGAGCAAGGACTGTCATCTTCACTTTGCTTTGAAAAGTAGACATAGGTCCCAAATCATCTGCTAAATGAGTAATGAACAATATTTCTGTTCAGATGGTGTGTGCTTGCCCATAATTAATATGCAAATATTCTAAACTAATCTGATTTTAAATCCCCAAATTTAAACAAAAATATACCAAGGCTTTGAGATTTAGCTTGTGCTAAATCATTTTTTAAAATTGTAGCTCTGAGGCATTTTATTATAAAAACTTAGTACTCATATACATAAACTAATATGAACTTAAAATTCATCATACATTTACTTCATTTTTTAGCTTGACCTTCTAGTAAATCTTTAGCTTCATTGATTTTGGCTGCTATATAAGGAGATCCTCCTATAGGAAGA